CAAACATGGAGCGAGGAAGACGGGAGAGATGAGCAGCTTCAAGGGACTGAGCGCATGAGACCCAGGAAAGGAGGCAGGCTTTACAGGCCATTCCTGCCAACGGGGCCCTTTAAGGTTATTCATCTCTACCTCTCCCAGCTTCCCAGAGGGGAAACTGAAGCCAGAGGGAAAGCCACCAGCTAGGAGCTGTGGAAGGGTCATCTGCACCATCACCATCACCACTGGGGGAGCTGCAGGTGTGACCTGGGTAAAGGGAGGCTGAGCCATGGGGCACCCTCTCGGATCTTTGGGACCCTTCTCACTGTGGCCTCCTAGCTAACACTGGGAAAGTGTTCTCTTCCCCCATCCCTGAGGATGGGGAAAGAACCTGAAAGGGAGAGGCCCAGGTCTGAAAGAGAGCCTAGCCAATCCCCGACCAGCTCTGAATTTGGGTTTAACCATCTGTAAAGAAAGGCTTAGCGAGAAGTCACCTCTCAGGCTCCTCCAGCCAGGACGTGCCAGTCTGGGGAGTGGGTGGGTGTCCTCGTAGCCCTCCCCTGCCCCACCTTTGTCAGCAAGTCCGAGGAGGCTGGCAGGGTTTGAGGTGGAGGGGTGTCAGAGCGCCAGTTGCTGCTAGATTAGGAAAGGATCAGGCCCTGCTTACCCTGGGGCGCCACAGCCTTCACTGCCATCTCTGAGAACACAGTACCCGGGTCTCCAAAGCATTGCCCCCTTTTCCAGCCCAGTTCTATCTGTCCCGTCTCCTGAGGCCAAGGTTTGGGGGAGCCCCAGGGATTAGATAAAATAGGGACAGCCAGCAGGCTTCCCCCGCTAGCCCCCAGTCTAGGTGGCCTGTGAGCCCAGCTGTCTCCTGTCCGTCTCCTAACAGGACGCAGGGCCCAGAATAGCAAGGTCATGAGCATGGGTAGGGCCTCCTGGAGGTGGGGCAGAGGCCGAGGGGCAGGAGAGTGCCTAGGAGGGAGAGGCAGGATGGCAAGGGAACAGAGCTGGCTGGAGTTGGGGAGGGTGTCTCCAGACTCTGGGCTCTCCTTGCGTGCACCCACCACCCCCAGGGCTAGGAAGCCCAGGGGTGCCCTCTGTTGGCAGAGGGAAGACTGATTCAGGGAATACGGCCTGTTATTTCATGGAGGGGTTGAGGGCCAGTGAGTGAAGGGAGCCGATGAGGGTGGAGAGATGTGGAAGGTGGATGCTGATGATCTTCTGATGGTCAGAAACCAGGAACTTGAAAGTTTTTGTTTTCATTTTGTTTTTTAGTTTTTTTCTGTCATGGATCACATGCACTCACCGGAGAGAGATGAGGAAAAATGAACAATCATCCCCCTAGGGGAGATGGCCACGTTGCAATCCCTTCTCTCGGGATTTTGGACAAACTCGCACATGCGCCGAGCGTTTTTCAGACCATCAGGTCTGGGACTCAAACCGCAGCTTTAGCTATGTGGGATCCAGTGTCTTAGCAACCATGTCCCCTGCAAGTTCACAACTTGAATTTTTTTTGAGAGAGATTTTTGCTATAGGGCCGGAGAGACAGAGAGAAACAGAGACCAAAAGTAGGAAATAACCTCTTGGGGGGACGGCCAGATTGCAAACCCTACTCCTCCATTATCCTCTCTAGATTTTGGACCCGCATGCATATGTGCCCATGTGAGTTTTAAGCCGCCAGTCCGGGACTCGAACCTCAATCGACTATGTGGGAGCCCAGTGACATAACCATTACGCTACCTGCTGGCCTCCAGGAACTTGAATTTTCATGTGAAACTCAAAATGGAAACAATAGCCAGGTCAAACAAATCATAGTAGCTTCGACGCAGATAGAACCTGACATTTTACTGATGAAGATACCGAGGCCTGACGTGGCTACACCTTGCTCAGGTCACACAGCAAATAAGAACAAAAACAAAAAAACAACCCAGGACTGGAGGCCAGTGTCATTATCCTACATCCATCCAGCTCGGCTCTAAAAAGGGGGGCAGTCAGCCTACCCTTTGGGTCCTCTGCAGCCAGACTTCATAACTGCCACATTAAATCTCTCCCAGTACAGCCACTGTGGGGCTCCCCAGCCCCTCACCTGGCCCCTACAATCTCTCTGCCTGCTTCCTCCCAAGGGCAGAAGCCTTAACTTAGGGGCCAGGCTTTAGCACAGTTCGATGCTGTGCATAGAAAGCTGAATCCTACACAGCTAATTTTAGTTCTAATCCAACCTCTGTGGCTGGGCATGTGTCCCCCAGATTCTGACAGGATGGAGAAATTGAGGCAAAAGGCTAGTGTGACTCCCACTGAAGGTGTTTCTTTCTTTCTTTCTGGCAAGCACATGTACCCTCTGTCAATTACAAAATAATAATAAAATTAATTTCTTAGTGGCTAAGGGAGCCGGACTCCACGGTTTGCATCCTAACCCCAGAAGCTTGAAAAACACACCAGCAGGACAGGATAGGGAAATACAGAAAGCATTTTAGATTCAGTGTGATCACACCCCATGGAGGGGTGCTTTCTCCCTCCCGCTCTCTGTCTCTGGTGAGCACACATACCCTCTGGCAAGTAAAAAAAATATATAATAATTAAGATTCAGAGCAAGAAGGGCCCTTGGAGATCCATCCTGCCACATTCGCTGTCCTGCCCCTGAAGAGGACTTACTGGAGGGGCCAAGTGGTGGTGCAGAGGGACTGAGGGAAAAGGTGTCGAGCTTGTGTCCCACGACTTCCCCGACCACGCTAGATGGGCACATGTCCCCGTGATCGAGGCTGGCTGAAGACCCTGTTTGGGGGTGCCTGCCTTCTTTTCTCTCTGATAAAATAAACAAAGAAAATAAAAAGATACAAAAGCCTTGCTGGAGAGCCCAAGCAGCACTGCTTACTCTGTACTTACAGCCTGGAGCGCTGGCCCTGAAAGCACAGGGCTGGAGAGTGGCAGGGACTTCACATCTGAGACAGCCAGCTCTGCAGCTCACAACACTGAGCAAGCTACATGCCCAACCCACCCGGCCCAGTCCCCACTGCGAACACTGGCCACAGCTGAGATAAACCCTTTTATTTATTTATGCTTCTCCATTTTGTTTAAAACAACAACAACAACCACCTTAATATTAACTGACAGCCCTTCCCCCTCACCCTTCCTTGGGCTAGGGGGTGGTTAGTGGGGAAATGGCCCCCAGGGATGAGGCTGACCATAAGAGCCCCTCAGGGAGGTAATGGAGTCCAAATCCCCTGCCCAGGGGAAGGGGCACCTGTAGTGTATGAACTGAGGAGTTGAGGGTTCTTAAACCTCTGCTTGTACCAACGTACGTGCCCTTGGCCAACAAGGGTCAGGAAGCATAGGAGGAGGGGATTCCTAGCTCTCCTCCATGTCCCCACCAGCCCAATCTCGGGAGCCAAAGACTGGGGAGCACAAAGGGTAGAGAATGGATGGGGTAGGTCTCACACGAAGGAGTACTGATTATTAATGGCTCTGGGATGGCCCCCTTCTTCTCCATCGCCCCCTAGTGGCAACTGCTGGATCTGCACCGTTAGGGTCACTCCGGTGTCCCCACCAGGTCCAGTGCCTCCCATGGCCTCCAGGCCTGGTGCTATGGCCTCTTCCAATTCAACCACGGGGACCAGCTCAACCACGGGGACCAGCTCTTCCTGGACCCCTCCACTGCCCGCTTTCTCTTTCTCTTGCCTCTCTTTGGCTGCTGCGGCTGGTTGTGCCGCCACCTCTTGGGCGCCCC